CCATTAATCGTTGGAATGTCGCGGGGGCTCCAGTTATCCCCTGCGGCATTCTTTCGAACTGGTAGAACCCTAGCGGGCAAATAAAGGCAGTTTTTTCTTTATCAGCTTCTGACATGGCGATCTGGTAATAACCAGACCTTAAGTCCAGTACGGAAAACCATTTACTCCCGGTCATGCAGTCCAGTGCCTCTTCAATGCGAGGAGTAGTGTACTGATCTGGCACTGTACGACTGTTCAATGTTCTGTAATCTATACACATTCTCACACTGCCGTTCTTCTTTCTTGCTACAACTATCGGGGAAGCGTAGGGGCTACGCGACTCCTTGATAATCCCAGCTTTCAGAAGATCTTGCAGGTGTTTGCGTACATCTTCAATGTCAGCAGGAGCCAATCTCCTTGATCGTTCTCTGAAAGGTCTTGTGTCTGATAATCGAATCTGGTGCTCCACACCTTTTGCTAGCCCTACATCCCACTCATGCAGAGAAAACACGCTGGCCCTTTCTGACAGTTTTCCTATCAGTCTAGCTTTCCAGTGCTCATTGATTGGGGAATCACCAAAATCTATGAGGCTAGGGTCCAGTTCTGTAGGCAGCTCCTTAGACCGTGTCTTGGGTGGTAGGGCAGTGATCACAGAATCAGCAGAACACAGGTTTCCCATCACTGTTCCAACTGGAAGAACTGTATCTCTCGATGATTCATTACATACTAGCACAGGGAAATGGTTCACATTCACTTCAGAACTTGGCAAAATCATGGGTTGCAGTAAAATACCTACTGGAAGGGGAAGCAGGTATGAATTATCCACCATCAGCACCCCTCTTTCCAGTGGTTTCTCTAACTCCACACGACACACGGGTCGACAGTCACCACCAGCAGGTAATGTCAAAGGACCAGGGCCCATCCATTTCACACATCCTAAGTCGTCTTCTCCTTCACTAGGACTCTGGGGTTTGCTTTGACTGGGTTCATCTGTTTGAACTCCCAGGGTCTGAGCGATATTTACCCCTGCAGTCTCTTTACAGATTGTAGCTAACCGTTTAAAAAGACTGGCGTTGGTCCCCAGGATAACAGGGATTTGGTCAGGAGTTCTTGGACCAGGGCAGACCAATGCTAACACTGCGAGCGACTCTTTGGAACCCACAACACTCTCAGGGAACTCAAGCTCTACGACGACATATCCAAGGTAGGGATAGCTGTTGTCACTTAACCCCCAGATGGCAAGGCCAGACACAGGATGTAGTGGAACATTTGACAAATACTGATTGTACCATTTTTCAAAGATAATAGTAACTTGTGAGCCACTGTCTAGTACAGCGTCACATTGATGGCCATTTATTCTCAAGGGCACAATAGAGGGGGGACCTATCAGCCCTTTTGGAATGTTCCGTCCGTTAACTGAAGTCACTTCACTTTTCTTTACAGAACAGACA